CTTTTTGGAAAACAATTTTAAATTTAAAAATTCTACCCATTTTATGTACAGATTTTTAGATTTCGTTCGAAATTTGGGTATATTTGACCAAATTATAATACCATGTAGCGGATGTTAGCATTACATTCATAACTTCAGCAATATTTGTAAACGTAATCTTCCAAATTATCCGACAAATTGACCAACATTTAGAATTTAAGACGGTAAAATAAAAACTAGTATACAACATCATCTAGAAAATGTGAATAAAGAACTAAAAGTCATGGTGAGATAGTAGAAGTCAAAGGTGATGAGTATCAAATCTTTGCATATATGGCGCTAGTATAGTAGCAAATTACATGCACACAACACGATCGCAGACGAACTTCTAAACAAGACCATCAAAAATACAAATATTTTATTTAGTTGCTGATGTCGCTTTGTTAAAGAAATTGCGAACACAACTTAAAAAACAAAAACAACTTGCAAAAACAAGAGCATAATTTACAAAAACAACGTACACCCTTAATAATTTTCTAGAATGCATAACAATGAAAGTAAATAAGTTCATCTTGTTTCATACTTTTTTTGTACATTTTAAATTGAAATGTTGTTTCTATGTGAAGAAATTATCATTCTTATGTACATTGATAACATTTTGTTTATAAATATTCGCATTTTACAGTAATGCAATTTTATCTTCAAAATTAAAAATAACCAAATATGTTTTTTCAAAACAGGTACGATATGTATATTTACATAGTTGGTTTAAAACTAGAGATAAAAGAAGTTTTTTTAATTTTATTTTTAGAATAAAAGCAAACAGTATTTAGTTCAATTGTTTGCAAAAAATAACCAAAACGAAAAAATAATTCACATGTACACATGCAAAATAAAAATAACCAATTTTGGTTAATAATAACCAAAGTGGCAACACTGGCTGTTGATTTTCTTTAGCAAAAAAAATTCGATGATTAAAACCTGTGAAAAGAAATACAAAACATTTAGTATTTGGTCTAAAATAAGTTTTAATGATACAAGTCATTTACGATATCTAATCAGTTGATTTAGATAACCTTATTACTATTTAGTACTTACCTTTTTGTATCGTAATTTGGTTCAAAGTATTCCAACTTTAGTCTTCCAGTCCAGGTCCCACCTGAATTTCTAACCTGGGGAAGAGAAACCAAATATAGTTAGTTAAATTAATTTAGTTTTTGGGTAATCTTCCAAAAGGACAAACTGAATTTCAAGCCAAAAACAAATTGTGTTTTTTTACGATTTCTTTTAGAAAATTACACTTTCTATTATTTCATTTTTTTTTCAAATAATTTTATTTTTATATCATTTTACTTTTATTGTCTGGAGAAATGCCAAGGGGTATTTTCCGCCAAAGTCTCTAAATTTTTGTCTAAGAGCTTTGGTGGACTTAGTCCTTGCATCTCTACCTATTTCCACGCGATAAACTCGTGTATGGAAGTTAATGGAAATTTTCGTTTTACTTCTAATCCCAAACGGAATTAGAGGTCTAGGGACTAGAATTGATCCACCTGAATTTTAAGACTTGAAAGTAAAAGAAAAATTAGGAAAATATTAGATTTTTTTTTTTGAATATAGAAAATTTAAGCAACAATATTATTTTCACTTTTTTATTCTGGATTAAATTTTATCAATTTTGTTTTTGGTTACGTCACTTTTGGTTTTCACTGTAATTTTTATTTTTTTTTTAATTATTGCCAAAATTCACTTTATATTTCACTTTATATTTTTAATTTAATTTAATTTAAAATATTTCTATTTTTACTTCACTTTTCACACTCACTGTATGTTCTAAAGTTAAATTTTCAAAATTTTTTCACTTTTCAGAACCACTGTAATTTCCTAAACAATTTTCTTTTTCCAACTTGTTTTTAATAAAATTTTTTTTGTCCGTACACTTTTGGCAATCACTGTAAATTCCAAATACTTTTAATTTTCGTAACATTTCCACTTTTAATTATTCCGACATCCGATTTTTAAACTTTTTTTTCAATTAATTTTTGTTCGTCCGTTTACTTTTTGCACGCACTATAAATTCCAAAAATATTTCTTTTTTATCCGAATTCATCTTTTTTTAAAACTCGAACCGAAATTATTTTAAATTCCGTCACTCACACTTTTGACACACACTGTAGGTTAGGTTGATAGGAGGATGTATACTACATCAAATCCGAAGAAATACACCTAGGTCACTATCGGGCCTGTTGTGCGCTCCAATTCATGAAAAAAAAAATTGTTCACTGAATGTATTATTTTTCCATGTTCAGAAACTCAGTTACTGGACGTAATTCCTAAGAATCTTCCAATTGGTGTTGGTTAGGAATGTTATCTCCGGAATAACATCACTTCCAAGATACTTGAATCTAACTTCGACGAATGCCTGACAATGGCAAAGAAAGTGCTCCAGAGTTTCACTGTCCTCTCCACATGCTCTACATTCGTCTGAATCCACACGTCCAATTTTGTATAGATGTGCACGTAATCCTGTGTGTCCACTCAGAATACGTACCACCATACTAACCTCAGACTTGCTTATTTTGAGGAGATTTCTCGTCTTGCTCTCATCAGGTTCACCCCATAGAATCTTTGTGGTTCTACCCACCGTTTCATTATTCCAAGAGGCCTTATGGGATTCTCTCATCCATATTTTTAATTCAGCTTTTGTTGCGTCGAATGGTTTTGCGTTTGTCAGGTTAACTACATCGAGCTCCCTTCCCTTTAAAGCTATTACATTCGCCCTTTCGTTGCCGACTACTCCCGAGTGGCCTGGTACCCATATGATGTGAACCTTACCTCTGGGAGAGTATTCAGTTAAAGCTTTCTTACAATCCAATACGATCTTAGATCTAATTCTATCACCTGATATCGCCCTAATTGCCTTCTGACTGTCGGTAAATATATTAAGCCCTGTGGGCGCCATATTTATTCTAATCCAATTTACACATTCCGTTATTGCTCGTACTTCTGCCTGGAAGCTTGTGTTATGATTAGGTAAACGGTGGTATATTTCTGTTTCTGAGTCTTCAATATAGAACGCCAGGCCCACTTTGTCCCCTAATTTAGAGCCATCCGTGTAGCAACGGATTCCTACTGGTATTTGCTCTATATATATATACATATTCTGTGTCTGGTATGCGATCAGTCACGTCCGATGAATGTTTTTTAACCTTCCATTGATGACGTGTCCTATAACCGTTTTTGGCCAGTTCGCCTAAAGTAAAGAGCCGTTCGGCTGTAAGCGCCGCCTCATATCTTATATATGTTTCAATGGGTGGAATATCTAGCAACGTTTCCAGAGCCTTGGTTGAAGTAGTACATATGACACCACTTATACCCAAGCAGCATGTACGCTGAACTCCCTGTAGTAGTTTGTTATTGCACTTTTTGTCCAAAGCAGTCCACCAGATTATTGAAGCATAAGCTAGAATTGGTCTAATTACACTTTTATAAAGCCAATTTGTCATAGTAGGACTAAGACCCCATTTCATGCCTATGGTTCTCCTACATATCGCCCAGCACCGATGTGCCTTGTTGATCCTATCCTCTATGTGGTGTCTCCATTTTAATTTCCGGTCATGTATTACACCTAAGTACTTAACTTTGTCTGTCACTGGTATCTTCTTGCCCAGGAAGCAAGGTTCAGTATATGTAGAAATTTTTGTCTTTCTTGTGAAAAGACAGATTTCCGTCTTCGCCGGGTTAACATTGAGGCCTCTCGGTTGAGCCCAGCTCAAGGCCGTATTCAGAGCCTCCTCAGCTCTTCTACACAAGTAATTTGGATCCTTTCCCTTTAAAAGTATTACGACATCGTCTGCATAGCAGACAGGTCTAAGTCCTTTCTCGGTTAGGGTCCTTAGGAGGCTATTAATCGTGGTAACCCAGAGTAAAGGTGACAAAATGCCACCCTGTGGTATACCGCGAAATACCTTTTTCCTGATAGTTATATCGTACATCTCGCAGATTATCCGTCTGTTCCTTAGCATGTAGTTGATCCAGTTACGGAGCACCCGGTCAACATAAAACTGGTCTAGGGATTGGATAAGGGTATCAGTGTCCACGTTATTGAAAGCGCCTTCGATGTCAATGCATACCGCCAGTGTATACAGTTTGCTATCGAAAGATTCACCTATGTAGTGGACAACTTCGTTTAAAGCGGTTTCCACCGATCGTCCCTTTACATAAGCATGTTGCTTATATTTAAGGTCTTTGTATGGTATGCTGCTTTTAACCATGCTATCGACTATCCGTTCCAAGGTTTTAAGTAGGAAGGACGTAAGACTTATCGGTCGATAGGACTTAGGTGTCGCATAGCTAGGTTTCCCTGGTTTGGGTATAAATATTACCCTTGCATCCTGCCATTTAACTGGGGTTTATGCCAATTTTAAGCATGCAGTGAATATCTGTGACAGATGTACGGAAACCAGTCCCGCCTCCATCTGCAAAAGTGCCGGAAAAATTCCATCCGGCCTTGCAGCTTCATAGGGAGCAAAGCTCTTGATTGCCCTTTAACCATGTCAGTTGTAATAACTATTTCCGTGTTACCCTCCCCTTCCTCCAATATCGGTTCATCTATGTTATTCGATATACCGGGTGGGAAATGAGAATCCATTAGGAGTTTCATTGTCTCCCCCATATCCTCAAGCCTCCTGCCCGTGTCATCGATCATAGATTCCGGTTGGACATGAGTTTTGGATAGGATTTTTTTTATCTTCGATACGTCATTTACGCTATCTACCTGTTCACAGAAAAGTTTCCTCGTTTGGCTTTTCGAACGATTTTCTTATATTCACCAAGTTTATTACGATACTCATCCCAGTATACTGCGGGCTTTTTACGCCGTGCCCGGTTAAATAGTTTGCGAAGAGTCTTACCAAGGTTCCGGATCTCACCAGTTACCCAGGGTTTTTCCTGGGCAGATCTCCGCTCTCGCAGAGGGCAGCTGTCCTCGAACGATTCAACCAAGGCACTTGTGAACGTTTCCACTTTGGCATCTATATCCTCTTTATTTCGGCTACACGGTGCGAGTTGGCATCACAACCTATTACAATTTTCTTATTGTAACTAAAATTTTTTTTATGCACCGAACCACATTTTAATTTTAGCAGAACATCGAAAACAAAACCTGAAAACCAGAAAACGAAATTATTGGAAATTTTTATATTAAAATTAAAATAATTCCACACTTTTTCTTTTTACTTACCATTTAATTCTGCTTCGATCCGCCATCTTTCAGAATCGGCCATCAGTTTTTTTATAGGCCCAAGGCAGCCAACATGATCCTTGTAAAGAAAAAATTTGGTTGTGTTAGTTAACACACCACTAATAAAATTTCCATTTGTATAACACTTTTACTTACCTTATTTAAAATCCCCTTTATTGGCCATAAATCTCCACCAGAACCTGTAAAGAAACAAAAGAAAAAATTATTATATTATTTTAAACAATTTAAATTAATATTTTTAATATTTTGATGTTTATTTACCAAAAAATACTTACCTCGTTGTCTCCATTGATAATTTTTTTTGTGTTTGGGTGCTTCTTCTTCATCCACGCGTAGTATTTTTTTTTTATTTGCCTCTTCCTTTTCCATTCATTCAAGCAGCTGTTCACAGTACGTCGCCCCCTGACCAGTTTTTAATGGCGATACAGAGTTGTTCTTGTTTTCGAAGGAATAAGGGTTGCCATAGTGGAATTTTTTTGTATGGGAATACAAAATCCCAGAAAAGTTTTAGGACATTAGGGTTGTTCAAGGAAATTATGGTGCGTTTTTTTCCCTCCCATCCTGTATCCAGGGATGGATAACAGGAATGGTAGGATTTGTAGTGTGCACCTCCCTAATAAATAGCTACTAATAAAAAGAAGAAGAGTAAACAAAAAAATAAAGGGATTTTTCGTACGTTTTGTCATCTTTGACAAATGGAAATATCGCAAACAAAAACAAATAAACAATACCATGAATTTTAATAGCTGAAATGAAAATTTATCGGCCATTTTTTGAGGAAGCTAGGTTTCGAGGGAGGAAACTCTTGAAAATTCTTTCTTTTTGAATCGAACTTGGCCAACTAAGAAGAAGGTGGAGTAGTGGCGGAGCAAATAAATCCATTTCGTTTAGCAAATTTGTTTCAAATAATTTTTATTGAAATTAAAAAATTAATATTAAAAAACTAAAAAGAAAATTAAAACTAAAAATCTAAAAGCATAATATAACTACTTGCTTTTGTCACTCGCCACGGTCACCAAACTCCATCCATCGAGGGAGCTGCCGCTGTCAAGCAGTACCACTCCTGGGGTGCTTTGGGGTATAATTTGGTTTTTCCCGACACAAGATAAGTAAAATTACTGGGTACACCGACGGACGTACTATTTCCTTTTTTTTATTTTATAAATATATATATATATATATATATATATATATATATATATATATATATATATATATAAAAGATTGAAAAAAATTAAAACACAAAAAGAAAAGTGAAATATTTATATAGGGTATAGGAAATCTTACGTGCCGTAATTCCATACCGCGTGTGAACTTTAACCACGCGTGCGCGACCGTAGGGTAGAGCTCTGGCCTAGGAACCTTTTTCTCGATATTTTCCTAAAAAAAGAGAAAAAAAAAGAATATCAAAAAATAAAAAAACATTCATTAAATAAATGGAATTAGAGAATTTCGAATTTTATCTGTACCGCCGAAACGTCGACGATCGGACACGTGACGGACGGACAGGAAAAATCTATTGAACAACATCCTCATCTTGAAGACTCTTCACAAACCCGAATTTTGGCCGCCAAGAAGTCTAGAGAAGAAAGCCTAATAAGAAAATTAAAATAGAAATGAAATTTCATAGCAAAAGACCAAACATTATAAACTAAATTTAAAATTCATAAATATCTAAAAGCTAAACCTAAATCTAAACCTATAGCTAAACCTAAGTCTAAAATCTTAAATCTAAAACTAAAATTTTACATTGAAAATTTAAAACTAAATTTTAAAACTAAAAGTAAAACTAAATCTAACAAGTTAAAGCTAAAATTAAATTAAAGTTAAAAAAAACTTCAAATTTTGAACTTAAAATTTTAATTTAAAACTTAAAACTAAAGCTAAAAGTAAAAAAAAAAATTGATATTTTAAATCCTAAACTAAAATCAAAGTTCTGGTTAAATATACATTTTATAACATTAAATTAGACTAGAAATATTAAACTATTTTTGTTAAAAATTCTTTTAGATTGTATAAATTCCTTTTTTATTAATAAATCGAAGATTCATAATGTTTGAATGAAAATTTGGAATAGATTATCATTTAAAATGATTGGGTAAAGCTCAGTAAACTCGGTAGTAAGTAGGGAAGGTAAATGTTTGCGGGGAAAGTTTGGGACATCCCTACGATAGGATGTCATGGCGGGATGCAATCCCGAGTGGGAGGGTGATCTCTTGGCATCAACACCAGCTAGAAGAAAATTGTTCGATAGGTATAGTACGTAGGGAGGTGGAGACACCACTTCGAGCCCTTGACATTTTATTTATTTTATAGCTGGCATGATTTTTTGTGTTTAGTGTGTTTTGGCACAGATTGTTGGCAAAGACCACCCTCATCGGCGAGCTTCAAGCCCGGCATAAGCGAGCATACCAGCGCCACCGGCAATCTGGCCACTTTGTTTTTTTTGTCTTGTTTGTTTTATCTTCTGTTTGGTCAACGACCAAACCGATTATCAAACAATAACATCACCATGCACACACTACAAAAAATTTTTGCTTATAATAAAGTTATGTCTAGATTAGATTTTTTCCAAAAATAAATCTATAGAAACTTTTAAAATACATATGGGAAGTTCTTTTTTTGTTTTAGATATTAAGAAATCAACTTTATGCATTAAATATTTCTTTCGTTCAATATTTTGAAAATTAAGTAATGACGAATTTTTATTCACAAGACTTGAAAGAATATGTCCATCAAAGTTTGTGGTCGAGAGTAGTTCCATGTTGGAGAAACAAACACTTAAAGTCAAAATTTCTCAAAAAACTGATTGAAACCAACTAGTTTTTTCACAACTTTTGGATGTTAGAAATGAGAAAAAGTAGACACTGTAATTACGCGTCGTTTGATGTATATCTCCAAAATGTGCTCTAGAAGATATCACTGTGGGAGAAGCTTAAATATTGGAAAAATAAACGTGAAAGTTTCAAAAAAAGGTCTTTTTCGCGAAGCACACTAACAGTGTAACTTCAATATACCCAAAATATCGAAATACTTTTAAATTTTACATGTTGAAATCATAAAGCCGCTATAAAATATTAGCATGCAAAGATTTTAGAGCGAATACAAAAAAATTGAAAATTTTTTATTTTTTACATTATAAAGAAATTTTAAATTCTGAATTTTATCAGTAATCAATCTTTATATGGAAAGAATTGGTTTGCATCAAAAAAATTCAATCAAGGTCTCTCGTGGACTGAATACGCGGGGTTTCTTTCACCATAAAAATCGATGAAGCACACCTATGCCGCTAATTTAAATTGGGGACATTATACATCAACCGGTGGCTGACAATGATGCTAATAGGAAAATCGATAAACCGTTCGAAAAAACTGCGTTTTTGCATTAAAAAAGGGTAAAAAAGTTCATTCATGTAAATATATAAATTATTTACAAAATTTAAATTAACCGAACAGATTTTCATTTTAACGGTTTTAAAATTAAAAATGATAAAAGCAGTTAATTGTAAATAAGCTGGGATATGTTATCTGCAAAAAAATTTCATCAAAATTTCTCTTTCGCAGAAAAAGCGGTGTTTCTTGAGTTACAAGATAATTCGAAGAATGACACCTAAACCGCTAATTAAAATTTGTAACACTTAACATTAATCGGTAGCTGACAATGATGCTTATACCAAAATCGATAAGCCGTTAGAAAAAGTACGATTTTGCATCAAATGCATTAAAAAGAGTTCGGTCATGTGTATGAAATTTATTTCCAAACTTTATATAGGTTTTCATTTTAACGGTTTTTATATTATTTACTCATTTAAATTCAGAAATGGAAGCAGAAGATAATTATAAACAAGCAGTTATTGGCTAACCACAAAAATAATTGCATCAAAGTTTCGTGTGCAGAAATCGCAGTGTTTTTCTAATTAAAATTGATAAAATTATATTCTTTTATGTTGCTACTAATGAGATCTATAGCAAAATCTATAAGCCGTTCGAAAAAATAAATAAATTAAAACATCATAATTTTTAATCTATCACACATAAATGCATAATTTTTTTAGTTAATGATTGTAAATTAATATATTAATACATCATGTTAAATAGTCTATAAAAATGTGTACTTAGTTTTATAAAAAAAAATATTTTTTGAAGAGGTTGAAAAAAATTCTTAAAAAGCGAATTTATCCACGAATATTTAAAATATTTGGGTTAAATTAATTTGTATTTTGAGTACTTCGTTGTGAATTATATCTACGCTTATATTTTCGAGGTTTAGGTAAAAACGTAATTTTTGGAATTTTTTTAAACTCTTAACTTTAAACCGTTATAACTTTGGCGGTTTTTGCTAAAAATTATTCACGAGAAGATAATTGTACTTCTAAGATGTCAGACAATGTCCACGCAAAATATCATTGATATGCTATTAAAAAAATTTCATAATTTTTATGAACCCCAAAATTTAAATTAAAAAGAGAATTTCCCATATATCTACAATTTTCTATATACAATTGGAAATATTAAAATTAAAATTATAAGATATAATTTTGTTTAAAATTTAACATTATTTTTTTCAGATGCCTTGTTATTGTTAACCGTTTAAGTAATAAAATGCTGAAAATTAACGCTGAGCCCGGATTTTTTACAGAAGTTTTTACAGAATTAAAATCGTGTGGGCAACTTATAAATATTACAAATAGTTCTCTAAGTTGTGGCGCTGCTTGACGTATTACAGGACCAAATATTATTATAAAGTTTTCACTATCAGCACAACATCATTATCATCATAATGGAAAAACAATCAAAATATTGTAATACATGTGAAAAAAAATTTCGGCAATATACTTATATAAAAATAAACTTTTAGATAATAAATAAAATTTGAAACTGATTATATTAAATATCTCTAAATAGTAAATATAAATAAACGAAGTTGGACCGACTAAAATAAAATAGTAATTCATTTAATGTATTATTTTTTAGATCCAAATCAACGTTGAACAGTGGTTTACAAGCTTTTATTTTTGGAAATAATTCGGTATCTCTGAAACTATTGGATATATCGCAATGAAATTTTACAATATCTAGTGCTACAAAAAAATAAAACTATTGTGGTAAAAAAATAAACTTTTAAAAACGATAAAAAAACTATTTACAAAAATATAGGGACAGTGCATTATAAATCAAATAAAAAAAACATTGTTGAACAATTTGGTGGTATTACACTTCTCAAAATTTTGTCGGCTTGATACATAGAAAGAGTTTTGTGGAAAAAAAATTAAATAAATAGTGACTCTAAATTTTACCGCTAATCTTTATGTACAAAAATACGTAAATTTTGTTCGCTCTTGGTTCCAGTACATAATATAAAGTTTTGTGTATAAATAATTTTGTCGTTCAATATTGCGGTACATATATAAATAAATAACAAATTATGGAACAAGTCGGTTTTAGTGACATTAAAAAAAGTAGGTCGCTCATACTTTCGAGTGGGGCTTCAAAGTTTAATACATTTCAGTTTAATCGCTTTATAAAGATTTCCTTAATAGCATAAAATACATAAAAGTGTATATAAACATTTTTGGCGTAAAAACTTTTGGCGTCGGTTTCAGTGCTCTACATAGTGTCATCCATTTTGTAAAATATAAAACTTCAAATTTTGAACTTAAAATTTTAATTCAAAACTAAATCCTAAACTAAAATCAAAGTTCTGGTTAGATATACATTTTATAACGTCAAATTAGACTAGAAATATTAAACTATTTTTGTTAAAAATTCTTTTAGTTTGTATAAATTCCTTTTTTTTTTATTAATAAATCGAAGATTCATAATGTTTGAATGAAAATTTGGAGTAGATTATCATTTAAAATGATTGGGTAAAGCTCAGTAAACTCGGCGGTAAGTAGGGAAGGTAAATGTTTGCGGGGAAAGTTTGGGACATCCCTACGATAGGATGTCATGGCGGGATGCAATCTCGAGTGGGAGGGTGATCTCTTGGCATCAACACCAGCTAGAAGAAAATTGTTCGATAGGTATAGTACGTAGGGAGGTGGAGACACCACTTCAAGTCCTTGACTTTTTATTTATTTTATAGCTGGTATGATTTTTTGTGTTTAGATGTGAAAGTCAATTTTGCAATTTATAAGTAAAGAATTATGTGATCGCAAAGTTTTGATACCAAATTTATACCATTTTACAAAATTTGCAGTTTTTTTGCATATAATATTTGTGGCTCTTTTGTTATGTAAAACTTAGAAATGAGAAAAAGTAGACACTGTAATTACGCGTCGTTTGATGTATATCTTTAAAATGTGCTCTAGAAGATATCACTGTGGGAGAAGCTTAAATATTGGAAAAATAAACGTGAAAGTTTCAAAAAAAGGTCTTTTTCGCGAAGCACATTAACAGTGTAACTTCAATATACCCAAAATATCGAAATACTTTTAAATTTTACATGTTGAAATCATAAAGCCGCTATAAAATATTAGCATGCAAAGATTTTAGAGCGAATACAAAAAAATTGCAAATTTTTCATTTTTTACTTAGCGAATTTCCGCATTATAAACAAATTTTAAATTCTGAATTTTATCAGTAATCAATCTTTATATGGAACGAATTGGTTTGCATCAAAAAAATTCAATCAAGGCCTCTCGTGGACTGAATTCGCGGGGTTTCTTTCACCATAAAAATCGATGAAGCACACCTATGCCGCTAATTTAAATTGGGGACATTATACATCAACCGGTAGCTGACAATGATGCTAATAGGAAAATCGATAAGCCGTTCGAAAAAAAAACTGCGTTTTTGCATTAAAAAAGGGTAAGAAAGTTCATTCATGTAAATATATAAATTATTTACAAAGTTTAAATTAACCGAACAGATTTTCATTTTAACGGTTTTTTTGCGTTAATAGTTCATTTAAAATTAAAAATGATAAAAGCAGTTAATTGTAAATAAGCTGGGATATGTTATCTGCAAAAAAATTTCATCAAAATTTCTCTTTCGCAGAAAAAGCGGTGTTTCTTGAGTTACAAGATAATTCGAAGAATCACACCTAAGCCGCTAATTAAAATTTGTAACACTTAACATTAATCGGTAGCTGACAATGATGATTATACCAAAATCGATAAGCCGTTAGAAAAAGTACGATTTTGCATCAAATGCATTAAAAAAAGTTCGGTCATGTGTATGAAATTTATTTCCAAACTTTATATAAGTTTTCATTTTAACGGTTTTTATATTATTTACTCATTTAAATTCAGAAATGGAAGCAGAATATAATTATAAACAAGCAGTTATTGGCTAACCACAAAAATATTTGCATCAAAGTTTTTCGTGTGCAGAAAGCGCAGTGTTTTTCTAATTAAAACTGATAAAATTATATTCTTTTAGGTTGCTACTAATGAGATCTATAGCAAAATCTATAAGCCGTTCGAAAAAATACAACCATTGTGGATTTAATTCAATTTTTAAAAAATGCATTCGAATATATGCATAAATAAATTAAAACGTCATAATTTTTAATCTATCACACATAAATGCATAATTTTTTTAGTTAATGATTGTAAATTAATATATTAATACATCATGTTAAATAGTCTATAAAAATGTGTACTTAGTTTTATAAAAAATATTTTTTGAAGAGGTTGAAAAAAATTCTTAAAAAGCGAATTTATCCACGAATATTTAAAATATTTGGGTTAAATTAATTTGTATTTTGAGTACTTCGTTGTAAATTATATCCACGCTTATATTTTCGAGGTTTAGGTAAAAACGTAATTTTTGGAATTTTTTTAAACTATTAACTTTTAAACCGCTATAACTTCGGCGGCTTTTGCTAAAAATTATTCACGAGAAGATAATTGTACTTCTAAGATGTGAGACAAAAAGAGATAAAAAAAGAATTTCCCATATATCTGCAATTTTCTTTATACAATTGGAAATATTAAAATTATAAGATATAATTTTGTTTAAAATTTAACATCATTTTTTTCAGATGCCTTGTGATTGTTAACCGTTTAAGTAATAAAATGCTGAAAATTAACGCTGAGCCCGGATTTTTTACAGAAGTTTTTACAGAATTAAAATCGTGTGGGCAACTTATAAATATTACAAATAGTTCTCTAAGTTGTGGCGCTGCTTGACGTATTACAGGACCAAATATTATTATAAAGTTTTCACTATCAGCACAACATCATTATCATCATAATGGAAAAACAATCAAAATATTGTAATACATGTGAAAAAAAATTGCGGCAATATACATATATAAAAATAAACTTTTAGATAATAAATAAAATTTGAAAGTGATTACATTAAATATCTCTAAATAGTAAATTAAATAAACGAAGTTGGACCGCCTAAAATAAAATAGTAATTCATTTAATGTATTATTTTTTAGATCCAAATCAACGTTGAACAGTGGTTTACAAGCTTTTATTTTTGGAAATAATTCGGTATCTCTGAAACTATTGGATATATCGCAATGAAATTTTACAATATCTAGTGCTACAAAAAAATAAAACTATTGTAGTAAAAAAATAAACTTTTAAAAACGATAAAAAAACTATTTACCAAAATATAGGGACAGTGCATTATAAAGCAAATAAAAAAAACATTGTTGAACAATTTGGTGGTATTAGTTACCTATTACAATTCTCAAAATTTTGTCGGCTTGATACATAGAAATAGTTTTTGTGGAAAAAAAAAATTAAATAAATAGTGACTCTAAATTTTACCGCTAATCTTTATGTACAAAAATACGTAAATTTTGTTCGCTCTTGGTTCCAGTACATAATATAAAGTTTTGTGTATAAATAATTTTGTCGTTCAATATTGCGGTACATATATAAACAGTGTTGCCACTTCATGTGTAATTACACATATTGTGTGTAATTTTTATTTCGATGTGTAGCCCATGTGTAATTGATCTCATGTGTAAATTATGTGTAATTTAAAATCTCATTGTATTTACATAAGTATTACTTATTATTGTCCAATTCACAATCCTCGTGTATCTACGTATCGTGTGTATTTTTGTATTAGTTTACACTTATGTATAAATGTTGTTGGTAATTTCAAATAAAAAGGCTCGTATAACTTTACGTTTGTTTTTCATATGTTTATTTATTTTGTATTCAATGTCAAACTGTCATTCTCATGTGAATGCCCAATTTTAAAGAAGGTAAAACAGAAGAAGAATAATTTCATAAAGTAAACATTTAAAAAAGTGCTTTAAAGTGAAATAAAATGAAAAATAATAAATATTTGTGCTATAATTAATTTAGTTTTTCAATGTAATTGGATTTGTATAAATATTGAAGATGTGTTTCTTTCTTTTTTACAACATGGCTTTTTACAATACAATTGGCTGTTCACAAGCAGATATCGGAATTCTGTATTTTAATAAACGATACAAAATACAAAGACCAATTGTGAATTGGACATATATATCAAATTTGTCCTTTCAAACACTGGTTTTGGTTGTCATTTATTTTCGCTTTACAACACTTACATTAAAAGCAAGTCGTACATATCTGTCCTTTTCTAGCATATGCAACAGTTTGCACACTTGTTTGAATAATAAGTCGGTGGTTTTTTATTAAAACAAAACGATCCACACACATATATAGAAATTTATTTTCCCTTTGCAACACTTAAGCAAAAAGTGTCCGTCCTTTTCTAATATATGCGATTTTTTGAAATTTGTTGAAAGCCTTTTGTTTATAAAAGAATAGTGATACACATACATGTAAGTGGTACATATACATATTTTTATATTCAAAAATAACGAAACAAGAAATAAGAAAATTTCTAAATAATCAAATTAACTCAAACTAATTTCTGGTGGTAATTTTGTTTCAAGTGTGTAAAAGTTACGTTGTTTTTTAGATCTAGTTAAATAATAATTTATTTTAGGGATGACTGGAAGAAATGGCTTCAGATTCCAATCTGAT